AAAGTTTCCAAAAATTTCTGTCAAATAATATTAAGCATGTTCTTAATGCCGTCGCTACTCCACGTGCTAATGGGCAGGTTGAGCATTTAAACCGAACAATCTTTGACGTCCTTCTTGCCTCAACACCCGAGGAAGAGCTTTGGGATGAAAAGGTAAGAGATATTTAATTTGGTCTCAATACTGTAGTTAATGAATCGACTGGCAAAACACCAAGTCAATTACTATTGGGTTACTCCACAAGAGGTGACACTGACAGCATCTTAACTGATGATATTAGCAGATACCATTAGTCATAGAAAACCTAATCGAAGCAAGACGCGAGGCAGCTGAAAATTTTATAGTCGCACAAAATAAACAAAATTAGCCTTAAGCTATGAGAAACCGATTAAAGAATCAGAAAAAAAAACGATTAAAGAATCAGAAAAAAAACGATTAAAGAATCAGCAAGCAACAGGTGTTAATCGAAAATTGACATCTCCATATGATGGTTCAATGGTTATGCAAGAAGTACTACCGAATGACAGATATGTAGTAGCAGACATGTCAGGGTCTTATCACTTGTGAGGTAACCTACTCGAATGTGTTCTTGGATTCCAGTTGGTGGAGGTTTCTCTGGCGAATCCGATGAAGCTATTGATGAAGAAGGGTTGGTTTTTACAGACCCAGATGAAGCTGCTACTAGCCAACTCGAGACGAGTTGATAGCAGGATGGCCGAATGTAAGACCCTGTATATTTTACCTCATAATATTCTAGATATATTTCAAACGCCGTAACAAAATCACACCAATTTTGTCAAGCGAGGCTTCAAAGCTTATCGCTCCAGATTGTTTAGACTACGTAAGGGCAAGCGGCGATATATTATCGCCTGATTAAACAGAACGCTGGTCACGGCACTTAAAAAAATATCTTAAGTCTCATAGTTTTTTATGAAAGACGCACACAATATCGGAGAGGTTCAGTTTAATATTTAGGTTGGCATTTAGTTGCTTTTGAATCTTTTAAAGAAGTGGAGTGTCGCTAAACGTTAATTTAAATACGAGCTAAATAATTAATTTAAATAGTTATAAAATTGTGACAGTGTTGTGGCAGTGTTAAAGCTACATTATAGGGTGAGTTGATTCACTGAGTATGCATTCTCTACATGTTCTGTTTTAATTTATAATTGATTTATTTAAGAGTTATTAGTTTAAAGAGCTATCTTCTTTATAATTATTTGTTTGTATCTGTAACTGAAACCGACTCTTGCGTTTGGAGTCATTGCACGTCTTAGTACAGGGTAAATATATTGTTTTTAAGTTATTATTAGTAGTGGCAAGGGTTCACTATTTGGGTGGCAAGGGTTCACCAGTTGTTTATAGAGCTAGTGGCAAGGGTTCACTAGGCTGGTGGCAAGGGTTCACCAGTTGTTTAGAGAGCTAGTGGCAAGTGTTCACTAGGCTGGTGGCAAGGGTTCACCAGTTGTTTAGAGAGAGCACTTCGCGTTTAGTGCCGTAATATGTTTTGGACATTTGTGAAAGGGTGTTTTGCGTTTAATACCCGTTGTAACATTTGAACTGTGATATTTTACCTTAATAATAAGTATCAGGAATTTTGTAGGACCGGCATACTCACAAAGATTTATTTTTTTCAGGCAACTCTATGTCATGAACCATCCTGAACAAGAACCTGCCTTACCCATAGCCGTTCAAATTAAAGTTTGTTTTCTTTTAAGTTTTTGTTTGTTTATCAATGATTATTTTATATTTTTTTACATTTATTAAAATCGATTAAAATTTAATGTGCTCAGGCTTTTTGGTTCCATAAATTACAGCAGCATCCTCCATGTTGAGTGACATAGAGTCTGTTTGTGTGGTTATTGCATTAGCCGAGTGTCTGAAGAAAAAAGAAAAAAAAAAGAAGCGCTTAAACTTAAAGCAATGCACGTTTAAAAATACTTTCACTGCACGGCGTTTTAGATACAACTAAACAAAATATTGAAATATTGCACAATGTTGCCCACAGACGACACAATATAATACATATTGTACAATAAATATCAAACCAGTTTTGATTCTTAAATATATAACAATAATATTAATAATAAAAATATTTATTTCAAAAATGATCTAAATATGTACAGGGTGAGTCAACGATAGAGTAAAGTCCATTATCTCATTTATTTCAAGGTTTACAAAAAAATTTTTAATATAAAAGTTATAGGGATGGTTAAGATACACATTTTAAAATTATTATAGAGTATACAAGGTGCTTCAAAAAAGTGTGGCGGCTATAACATATGTTTTTTTAAATGCAACACCCTATTTTTTATTTTATTTTTAGATTCTGCGTAAAATTCCATAACTTTTTTATATATAATGTTATATACCTAAAATTAATAGTTTTTGTAATATTTCAATTTATTTAAACAAATGTTAAATTGCAATGTGGTAAAAAATTGTCAGTGGTGCCATTGTTTCTGAAGTTGCAGTACTAAAATTTGGTAGGAGAGTTTTATAGAGATGAAAAAAAAGATATATGTAAAGATATTTTAGTTAAATGATACAGGGTGTTCAAAATATATTTATGAATTTCAACTATTTAAAATTAAAAAAAATCTCAAATTTTTTAAATGGGACACCCTATATATTATCATTTTTTCTGGTAGATTTGACAACACTCTTCAACTTTTATTAGTATGTCATATCCGTATTTTTGATAGTTTGCGATTTATTCCCATTTTTTCTATTTTTACCCATATTTTTAATACAATTACCCTATAAAATCATAGTTGCCATGACAAAACAAAACTATTTATTACTTACCTTTAACAAGTAGCTTCATAATTAGTTACAATTGCTGGTATTAGTTAAAATTAATTAACTTTACTCAAATAAACTAAATCGCAGTAGTGAATTTCTTGGTGTGTTTCTATATTATGAAAGATGACACTTGAGATTTTTCGTCCGGGCGAATAGCCACAGATTAGGGTAATACTAGATTACCTAATTGCTGAAGACTACTGATATATGAATTTTCTTCGACATACAGTAAAGTTTTTTCTCGTAGTAATTCTGGTTTATAATTCATTTGGTAAAGCCAATATTACTACTGCCGCGAAACCGTCTCATTACACACTGAAGATGTTTTCTAGATAATATACATACATCTATCCTCATAGTAGTTAGCAAAGTACTATATAATATATAGTACTGAACTAAAAAATGTGGTTTTCTAAGCTTGTGCGTGTATATCAATCACATTGACTAATTCATTTCAAGAAAATCTGTAACTATTATCTCTACCATTTATACTTATTACAACAAATTAAACTAAAATTCAAATTTTGTTCTTAACTTGCTTAACAGACATGAAATTGTGATAATTATTACTTTTTGTCATGGCAACTATGATGTTATAGCGCAATTATATTAAAAATATGGGTAAAAATAGAAAAAAATGGAATAAATCGCAAACTAATAAAAATATGTATATGACATTCTAAATAAAAGTTGAAAAATTTGGTAAAATCTATCAGAAAAAATGAATATATAGGGTGTACCATTTAAAAAAATTGAAATTCCTTAATTTTAAGTAGCTGAAATTCCTAAATATATTTTGAACACCATGTAACATCTAATTAAAATATCTTTACATAGGTCTTTTTCTATATCTTTATAAAATATTCCTACCAAATTTTAGTTGTCCAACTTCAGAATCAATGCCAGCATTGACAATTTTTTAACCCACTGCAATCTAACATTTGTGTAAACAAATTTAAATATAACAAAAACTATTAATTTTAGGTATATAACATTATACATAAAAAAGTTATGGAATTTTACGCAGAATCTAAAAATAAAATAAAAAATAGGGTGTTACGTTTATAAAACATATGTTATATTCGCCACACTTTTTTGAAGCACCCTGTATACTCTATAATAATTTTAAAATGTGTATCTTAACCATCCCTATAACTTTTATATTAAAAATTTTTTTGTAAACCTTGAAATAAAATGATCCCCAGAGAAGAATTCCATATCTCAGCAGTGCCTCAAAATTTCCACAGTATAGTGTCTTCATTGAGTCTGGGTTCACATAACTTGACACAATTCTCAGACCGTAAGAAATTGTGCCAAGTCTCAAGCATAGCTTATGAATATGTTGGGTCCATTTTAAGTGCTCGTCTATGTAAATACCAAGAAATCTGCATTCATCACCAAGGCTGACATCCATTTCTCCAATTTTCAAATTGCTCGCTAATTCAATTTTCTTCTGTTGTGTTCGAAAAATTAGTGTATTAGTTTTTTCTTTATTTAGCATTAGTCTATTTGCCTCAAACCATTCCTCTACTCTCATGAAAGCCTTACTGCCATTCTCCTTCAGAATATCTTGTGTTGTTCCATGAGTAAGTATATTAGTGTCATCTGCATAGCACGTAAGGCTAAAATTTGCATTTCTTGTTGTTTGACTAATATCGTTTAAGTAGATGATAAAAAGTAGTGGCCCAATGATACTGCCTTGAGGTATACCAATATTCGATTTTTGTATAACTGAAACAGTTCGATTGATTATCGATCTGAAACAACTCCTGCGAAATAAAATTTCGCGGACCTGTAGGTTTAAAGAAATTAGAAATTGGGCGTCTAAGGCTTGGGATTCGAGACGTGGTCGACATAGGTTCCACTTTATCTAAAGGTTTCTGATCCGTGGGTTTGAATACATCTTTTGGAGGGCCAAATACTTGTCTGTTGGTCGGGTAATGTCTAGGCACATATTGTATCTGAATGTTTACGTGGTGAAAAGGAAATTTCGGGGGTCCTTGATTTAAAAATTGACTGGGGATTTGACTACGGTTCTGGTTTTGAGATGGGGGGAATCTTGGAGACTGGTTTTGGAAATTTGTCGGATAATTATATTGTAGGTTAGATTGATTAGACTGATGAGCTCTTTGTGTGAAATATGGATGAGGTGTGGTTGGTATGGGTGTGTGTGGTTTTATGTTATTAAAAGTCGACTGGGGTTATTTAAATAAATTTTGAGTGTATTGAAAATTTTCTTCTTCGGTTATGATTGTGAGAGCACTTTCGAGATTTTCGGGACTTCTTAGTCGTGTTATGCTTTGTAAAGGTCCAGGGAGGTTACGAATAAAAGTTCTTTGGGCTATTTGTTCGTATTGTTTTTGATAAATTGTTTTGGTCGAAATCGGCATTTCAGTTTCAGGAAGACTATTTAATTTTTGAGCTAATTGACTACGTAATATTTGCAATCTCTTAGCAAAATCCAAAGATGTTTCTCCTTTACTTGGCTTAGCCATAAAAAGATCTTGTTCTAAACATTCTAAGCTTCTATTGTCGCCAAAACAGGCTTGCAATGCATCTTTGATTTTTTGCCAAGTATCTAGTTCTGATCGGCAACCTACTAATAGTTGAGCTCTACCGACTAACTTAGTTTGTATTACTCTGATTAAATAATTTATCATAATCGCCTCTCTAGAATTACCAAAAGTTGTAAAGAGAAAGTCGCATGCAGAAATAAAACTGTGTAAGGTAATAGAATTTCCGTCAAAATTAGGAATACATTTACAAAATATCTACATACATTTTAAGCATTTGCAGATTATTTTGTGTTTGAGCATGGCTTTGATTTTCCGTCTTATTTGATTTTAAAACTAGTTTATTAGAAAATTCGTTTGTCAAATCGTCAATATTCATAAAAGAATAAAAAATGAAAATAAAAGAAAGTAGAGAAATTACGATAGCAAAATATAATATAGGTAAAATATGTATTCGTATTGTTGCGGACCGGTGTGGACTCGACCTAACCTAACAATATGGCCCGCCCTCGGATGACCTTAACATCGCATAGACACCGCAATGATTCATTCGAAGATTCGAGAAGAATCGAGTCCCACTGGAATGGAGTAGTACATACGAGAACATTCGAAACCTTCTCTATGCACCTAACGATCTATGGACTATTCTAGTAATCTTTAGCTGTAGGTGTAAAAGCCGGCGGCTGTGGCCTAGAGAGGGCAGTTATAAATGACGAGTGCAGTTGACGCGCTAAAATTCAAAATAAATTCTTAGTTATAAATCGTTTGTAAATAGTTCTATAAGTCTTTTATGGTTATTGTTTTTGTTAATTAGTGTTAAATAAATAGTGTTTAAATAAATTGTGACTTTCTATCCACACGGAACCGACGAAAGACGTAACAACTGGTGTCAAGTGTGGCGTGTGTTTGACTGAAATGTTGACACTGACTAGAAAAATAAAAAGACTAACGATGGCTCCGAAAAAATTATTGAAAGACCTGAAAGTGTCGGAATTAAAATGCATACTGGAAGAGAGGGAATGCGAGACAGATGGAAAGAAAAGCATTTTGCAAGCCAGACTGAGAGACGTTTTGATTGAGGAAGGTGAGTATCCTGACACATTTTGCTTTGAGTTTGAAGGTGACCTTGACTCGTGCCTACAAAAATTAGAAGACAACTTGAACAGCAATTTGAATAGTTTAAATGATAAAATGAATAAATTAGAAGATAAAATCAGTGATAAAATTATGGAAAATTCCCAGGATTTAATTAACATTTTAGAAGATAAAATCGCAGAAAATTCTAAAGACATACAGGCCAGCTTTAATAACAAAATACTTAATTTAGAAGAAAAAATTATAGAGAATTCTACGGAGCTACAAGACAAAATAACAGAGATTGAGGAAGATGTAAATAGAAAAATCGAAATTTTGAAAGAACAAATAGCAAAGGCAAATTCACCAAAATGTCAAGAATCATCGAAGGACCCGACACTGGTCGAAAATAAGAATATCTCAAAGTCAGTTATGAAGCCTCCGCAGTTTGACGGAAAAACCGCTTGGGCCAACTACTTTTGCCAATTTGCAGCCGCTGCGAGAGCGAACGGCTGGACAATCGCTGAAAAAGCTACCGCTTTGACTATCGCACTGCGGGGAGATGCGACTGACATCCTGCAGACCCTCTCACCATTGGAACAGGGAGATTATCAGCAATTGGTACGACATTTAGAAATGAGGTACGGCCAAGCTCATTTGGAACATGTCTATCATTCCCAACTAAAAAATCGCATTCAAAAGGCAAATGAGTCTCTGCAGGAGTTTGAAGCCGATGTAGCCCGTCTCGTTCGCCTTGCGTACCCTGCTACGCCCGAGAATGTTATGAAGCGGTTGGCAGTACAGGCATTCTCCGACGGCTTACGTGACAACGAGACAAGACAAGCGCTTCTCCTAGCCCACCCAACGCACTTGGTGGATGCTTTAGCACGTGCCCTAGAATTCGAGGCTACGAAACAAAGTTCTCGGTCTTTAGGAAGAGTACGGGCCATTGACGAATGTTCCGACGAATCCGTGGAAAGCATTGTACGGAAAGTCATGGAGGAGTACATGGGCAAGAAAGGACCAACTTGTTGCTGGAATTGCGGCCAGGCAGGACACGTAAGAAGTCACTGTAAAGAAAAGGACGTGGACCCGGTTTCGCCAAGTGTCGAATCAAAGGGACACATATCGAGCAGTACCCAACAGGTTCCAACGAAACTGCTCAAGTCGCATCGCTACAACACAAGTTCAACAGCATTTTTGTGGATGGTTTCGTGGATGGAGAGTTACGGACCATGCTTTTGGATACGGGTGCGACCAAAACGATCATCAGGCCGGATATCCTTAAAACATCAAAAAGGATTAAAACAACACAATGGCGACTACGTACAGCTACAGGAAGCTCCGCTCTCATTCATGGAGAGGTAGATCTTAATTTTGTTATCGGAAGCACCTGTTTTAATCATCGAGTGTTGGTAGCAGACATCGAAGATGAACTTATTCTCGGAATGGACATCATGACCACTGGAGGTTTTGAGCTAAACCTCAAACAAGGAATTTTGAAAATAAATGAAGAAGAAGTGGTTCTGCATCGAAAAAGTGAGGAGACACTTCGCGTGGTGGTAGCAGAAGATGTTTCGATCCCTGAGCGCTGTGAGATATTTCTGGATGGTTTCCTGGAAGGTAAAATGAATAATGGGAGTATTATTCTGTTGGAGCCAAGGAACCATGACAGCGAAATAGGACAAGGGGTCGCTGTTGGAAAAGCCCTGCTACGAGCGAAGAAGACTGTACCGGTGAGAGTAATGAACACGAATTATTATTCTGTAAAACCCTGTTAGAGTACTGTTGTTCGGTCTCCTCAGTCATTCGAAGCGTGGAAGCCTCCAAAGTTTCGACTTCAAAAATTCCGAACAAAATGATGAAGGAGTTAGTAAACGTTAAGGGATTATCTCCCGAAAATAGTAGAAAATTGAGAAACCTGATAATCAAGTATCAAAATGTATTTGATAAAGGAGAAGCAGGACAGAGAGGTCGTACCAATTTAGTACAACATAAAATTGATACCGGAGATGCACGACCAATCAAACAAAATCCGAGAAGACTTCCACTCGCCAAACGTGAAGAAGCTCACAAGATCATGGCAATTACTCGTTGACCGGTTCGAAAATAAAAATTTAATGATTCATAATCACCTAAAATCACTATTTGAGTATCCAAATATAACAAAAGAAAATCATTCCGATTTGAGAGGTCTTTTTGACAGCTTTACCAAGCACCTGAGAGCACTAAAAATTTTAGGCGAATGTACCGAACACTGGGAGATTAATTATTTACTTAATGTCAAACAAATTTGATGCGAGTACCCGGAAAGAGTGGGAGATGTTTAAAGCACATAAAGCTCAGGTGCAAGGGGGTCAAAATAACCTACCAAGTATGGACGATATGGATGCGTTTTTAAAAGCTAGGTGTGAATTATTAGAAAAAATTCAAATGATTAAAGATAGATCCGAAAAGGTAAATTTTAAGTCGACCAACAGCCGGAGTTATTCTAGCACGGATCAAAATTCTACATTAGCTACCAAATTAAATTGTTATTATTGTAATGAGAATCATGCGATTTATAACTGTCAGTCTTTTGAACAACTGTCAGCGGAACGAAGAGTTGTTGAAGCAAAGAAAATTAAATTATGTCTTAATTGCTTGCGTAAAAATCACTTTACTTGGCAATGTAAACAAAGGAAATGCGCAACTTGTCATAAGCCACACCCTCTGGCCACACCACACATTATTGCATATAAATAATTACGGGGTGCAACCACAGAACACACTAAAGAAGAACGCTAACTCCCATGCATTTTTTAGTTTCAAAACGGTTTCAAATTTGTAAAGAAATCTGTAATCTGTATATTGAAGTGGCGCCATCTAGCCACCCAGGAAAGTAACAAAGGTGGCGGCAAATTTAAATAGATGCAATTTATTTTTAAGTAAGACGTATTGACTTGTTCGCCAGTTAGAGCCAATCAGATTTCTACAAAATAATGTGTAGTCATTTGATTGGTCCCAAGTTGGCAAACAAGTCAAATGGTAAAAAACAAGGATTTAAATATAAAGGTTAAACCAGGTTAAACTATTGTAAAGTGTTAAATGGTTTGCTTATATCATTTTATGTGCATAAAAACCTGCAATAAATAATTTATTTTAATTTACAGAAAATTATACCATGAAACATTTTACAAACAAATAAAACAACAGATTAAAAAGTATAATATTTATTATAGTACCTGATTTAAGAACACAACAAATATCGTTGGAATACAAGAGAAAGTGACGTCCATTAGAAACAATGTTTTATTTACGTGTATTTTTTACATATGGACTGAACAATTGTGTAATATCACATTGTGGAGTTTATGTACAAAAATATGGAGTTGATCAATTTTTTTTTGTAAAAATATATGGCGTTGTAAATATTACATTGTTGAAAAATAAAATTCAGGAATATGGACTTGGTTAGGTTACCTCACCTCACTTTCTCGGATTATTAAATAAAATTGTTAGATAAATCAAAGACCTTTAACTTAGACCTTACCTTTAATAAAGATCTTAAAAATCAAACACAAAACAAAGTTCAAAAAAATTCAAAAATACAAAATCACGATTGTAAAATGAAGATTGCAAAAAAACACAGCCACACAACCAGAAAACAGCGAAACGCACATCTCCATTCCATGGCAAAACACAACTGAAGAGGAAGGAGGAAGCCGGAAACGGAAAACTGATTTGACATCTGTTGACATACAGAACAATGACAGAACATAATTAATAGGCCTATTTAGGCAACTATAAAAACAATTTTGTACGCAATTGTTAGGCAACTAGAAAAATTAAAATAAAAGTACGCCATCTAGCACCCCAGGAAATTACTACCCCAAAAAAAGATCGTTCAAGGTCGTATATCTCAGTTGACTGGCTCTGGGTGCAACTGAATCAAAATGAAAATAAAACTGCCGCCATGGTCGCCGCGGAGGAGACGCACGCGACGGACGCGGAAGAAGGTACCGTGCGCAACACTGAAACGACACAAGCGGGGAACGCAACGGTTGCAGGCGCCTCTACAGATTTATCGCAAG